AAAAAAAAAAACTGGGGAAAACACTTTTGATCCTTGGCTGCAAAGAAACAAGTCCAACACAGGCCAGTTTCTGGCAGAAGAAATTATTTCAGGTCTTGCACATGAAGGCATGAAAGAGTCCGTTGACTGTGAATGAGATCAGGCGACTCCATCTGGAGCAGAGATGTGAGACCTCCAGAGAGCCTCCTCACCAGGAAAAATCCTGGATCTAATCCACGTGGACCCCTCCAGCGTCACTTCATAAAGAAAAAATTAAATTTCTTTTCACATGGCAGCTACTGTGAGCATCAGGTTATGGAATTTATGAAAAAAGAATGTTTTGCTTCTTTTTTCTCACAGAAAAAAAAAAAGATCTGAATCATTAGATATTGGCTCTGGGAGATCTTATGCCTCTCGTTGCAGACTTCAAAGAGGACTTTCCCCCCTCAGCGTATGGATTTTCTCTAGTGGAGACGGTAGAAACGAGTGCCTTTGTGTTTCCTGAAGCACCAAGGATTTGTTACTAGAATTGAAATGCTTCTGATGATGAAATGAAGCTGATGATCAGGAGACGGAGGCCCTGGGCTGGTGAGGTCTGGAGTGTGGCTGAAGGAGGCAGGCATGCTGGAGGGGCTGAGCAGGCTAGATGAAGGAGAAGCACGAAGACCTGTGGTGGTCACATTAGGACTTGCAGCACTGCCCCATTCGCACAAAATCCCTGATGTCACAGGACTGGATGCTTGTCCCTCCCCGGTGCTTCTTGAGGGATGGTGATAAGAGTCCTCAACTGAGAGATGGAGCCCAGGGTTGGAATCCTCTCTGCTGCCTGCTATCTTATGGTCTTGTGCACATGGAGCTTCTCTGGAGCTCAATTTGCCCATCTGTGAAATAGGGATGAAAAGCTCTCTCACAGGGTTGTGAGGATGTGACAAATGGCTATGCAAAGGTGCCTGCCTTCCAGAAGGTGTTCGCTTGTGTCACCTACTTCCTCTCCAAGTTGCACTTTGGCTAGTTGTCATCTCACCAACCGGTGCAACAGAATGCTCTCCTCAGCTGGAGGAGTGACCGAAACAAGTGCCCCAGCTGGAGGAGGCCCAGGGTACAGGGAGAAAGTTCTGGCAAAACAAACCCAGGGGAAGAACCCAGGGAGTCAGAAAGAAGGAGTGTAGGAAGAGACCGATTACTCAGTGGAACAACTGAGGAGTGTGAGGTCACTCAGCGTACAGCCCTGGGTCCTCCACTTAGGAGTGAAAGGAGCAGGGACATGGCACCTGGACCGGCTGTGATTAGTTGCTTGTCACTCCTGGGTTGTGTGACCTTGGAAGGATGATCTAACCTCTCTGAAACCTAATGTATTCATGGGAAAATTTAGCACGCCCCACCCCCACCTCTGTTTCTGTGAGGATCAAATGATAACTGAGCTAGTTCATGCTGCACATCTAGCATGGTGCCTGGGCAGAGTGCCCCCCTGTTAGTGACACTTCCCTGCCCTCCACCCTGTTACCTCCTTCCACTGCGCTGAGAGTGGCATTAGTCCAGACACTTGCTAAGCAGAGTTTACCCAGTGCAGATTAGTGCCCCTCCCCCTGCTGAAAAACAGGCTCCCAAACTGGTCAAGTTTCCTCCCACGGGAATGAGAATGGAAGTGGGCGATAAATTGCCTCGTTTCACCGTTTCACCATTTCACGCGGAGACCGTTTCCCAGTTCTCTTTCGCTACGGCTGCTGTACTCTCGAGGGTGTTTACCCGATGGTGGTAGAAAATAGATCCTTTGATGGTTTTGTGGAAACATCTTGGGAAAGAGGGGAATGCAGGCCAACTTAGTCATCCTTTGTGAAACTATAATCAGGAGGCGATGTTTATCTTGCCCAACCAGACCCTGTGCTAAAATATAGAGTACAATTAGATGTCCTTGGAAAATACAGATAGTGGTTTCTCTGCTTTGTGAAGGATCCACAAGTAGTCATGACATGCTGGAGATGGCCAGTGGAACCGGTTTGGGGCCCAAGTAGGAGATGATTGTGGCCACGATGGGTGGAGAATGGTGTAGTTATGTGGCCCAGATTAGAGGCTGCATGCCGGCATTGTGGAGAACTTTCTGCAAGGATGAAAATGTTTTCTGTGCTCTGGGACACAGCAGCTACATATTGAAAAGCGGCGCCTATGACTGGGGATCTGAATTTTTGGTTTCCTTTAATTTAAAGTATTTAAATAGCCCCATATGGTTAGTGGTGGGTACGATACTTGACAACATAGCATTATACAGATGATTTCAGCATCCCCTGAACAACTGCTTCCAAACAGGCACGTGTCGCAGAGTGTCGTTTCTAGCTCTCCCAAGGCAGCTTCATGTGATCACAGAGGTGCTGCTGCCTACTGGAGAGTGAAACTAGGTGGAGCAGATTAGGACTTTGCTCACTGGAAGGATAAACAGAACTGGGGACACTGGGGGGAGTAGATGGGTGGGTGCAGAGCAGGCCCTAACTCATTATTGGAATATCCAGCAGGAGTGACTTTGGTCCTCCTCTATAGGAAAGAGATCCTGAGAGAGTGCTAGTTGGGTCCCTATAATCTGGCTCCTGCCTTTTACTCTTATTTTCCCCTCCCCCGCCACTCCTCCTCCTACTTTTTTTGGTACCAGGGATTGAACCCAGGGGCACTTAACCACCAAGCCACATCCCCAGCCATTTTTATTTTTTGAGACAGGGTCTCACTAAGTTGCTTAGGGTCATGCTAAATTGCTGAGGCTGGTTTTAACTTGCAATCCTCTTGCCTCAACCTCCTGAGTCACTGAGATTATAGGTATACACCACCAGGTTTGGCTCCTACTTCCTTCTTTTTTTTTTTGGGGGGGGGGCGGGGAGGATTGAACTCAGGGGCATTCCACCACTGAGCCACATCCCCAGCCCTACTTTGTATTTTATTTAGAGACAGGGTCTCACTGAGTTGCTTAGCACCTTGCTGTTGCTAAGGCTAACTTTGAACTTTCGATCCTCCTGTCTCAGTCTCCTGCACCGCTGGGATTACAGGCATGTGCCACTGCACCAGCTTCACCTGCTTCTTTCGTTACCTGTTTCTCCTCCCTACTTCCAAGCCCCCAGGAAATGTCCTCTGGTTGGGCCAAGCCCCTGTTAAGATAAAGTTCTCAGTTCATTCCATGAAGGTGAAAAATTGCCTCATTTCTTTCTATTGACAGGAAGTAGAAAGCACTCCCTTCCCCTTTCCTGCACAGATCAGGGGCAGGTTCCTGCAGTAAAAATTGCCCAACTCTTTGGAGGCCCAGGGTCTAAATGCTGGCTCTGACAAGGATTCACTCAGTGTTCCTGCAAATGATTTGCCCTCTCTGGGTCTCCATTTCTCCATCTGTAAAATGGCTTTGATGTTGACATATCACCATGAAAGCAGATCATGATTAGTGAGAGGTTTCATCATCCAGGTGGTGGGTCATTGAGAACAGAAGTGGGTTAACCCAAGGAATTCCCAAATGGCAGCCTGTGGTGGGGGAGGTCCCCAAAGCTGGAGCCCTTCCAAATGCCCTTACCTGCTCCTGAAAACTGCCGTATCCTCCAACCCTCAGAAACAGACAGGAGGGGACCCTCTAGCCCCTCATGGGGGAAAGACGTGCTCTCAGGCCAATTGTTCCTCAAGGCCTACCTGTTGACCACAGGACTTGCTTGGTTCCAATCAGGGAAATCTGGCTGATAACCTGATTTCAGATAAATAGAGGAATTCTGTGCCTAATATAAAAGTCTCTCTTGAGAGTCTGAACTAGGAAGTGGGATGACAAAGGAGCACTGGACTGGGAATCAGGTGGCCCCGTTCCAGGCTTCATAGGCTGTGTGGCTGTGGACATTCCACCCAAATTTTACTTTTCTCCTCTTTAAAATTGGGAAATAGTTGGGTGCTGTAGTGCAAGCTTGTGAGTCCAGCGACTTGGGAGGCGGAGACAGGAGGATCACAAGTTCAAAGCCAGCCTTACCAATTTAGCAAGGTCCTCAGTAATTGAGAAAGACCCTATCTCTAAATAAAAAGTGAAAAGGACTGGAGAAGTAGCTCAGTGGTAAAGTGCTCTGGGTTCCATCCTCAGTACCAAAATAAATAGATAAATAGATAATTTTTTAAAATAAATGAAACTGGGGAATAACTAGCCCTACCTGCTTGGCTCCCTGCTGTGAGAGCCACAAGTATTCCAAGGTGGTGCGTACTGTTTGTATGAAATGCTGAGCTAGTGCCAAGTTCAAGTCCCCTCCCCCACAGTATCTGCATAGTCATAAAGGAAGGGCACACCACCAAGTCCTTCTCCCAGCCCCACTGTGGAGAGTGCGCTGTGAAACTGGAAGATGCAAAATCACTCCTGAGCTGTTTTAAGGATTAGGCAGAAATGTTGATGGCAACAGATGGCTTGTTCCCTCCAGGAGGATTTGAGTGTTTTTCTGCTGGCCTCTGCTCAGACTCAGGAAGTGGCCACAGCCCTTTCCTGTTCAACCCAGAGCACGGTAGGGCCTCCCTTTCTGCCTGAGGTTAGGGATCTGGCTGGGAAACACTGGAAGCTGACTCATGTCCTGGGGGAACCACCATATGGTAAGAATATCTGTAAGAAGGTGGATTCCAACCTAAGGGGTAGAAATGAGGAGCTGAAAATGCAGCTGAGAACCCTGTTTCTTCATGGGGGTCCTGAATGGAGTGGAAGAACCGGGTTCAGGACCCTCCAGGTCTTTGGACAGTGAGAGAGAGCTGTGTGGTCCAGGTGAATGCTGGGAACCTTCCACATGGAACATTCCAGGGAACATGAAAATGGACAAAGAGACCAATCCAGGGATTGCTCTAGAAATAATCAAGGTTTCTCCTCCTGGTCCTTGACAGCAAGGTGGCCATTCTTGGAAAAGGAGAAAGCCTGTCCGTGCCGCTGCCTAAAGCGTGCACAGCCTCCGCGACACTAGAGCACAGAGCTGAAGGAACCTCAAGAACAGAGCGGAGGGAGCTTCTGAGCCTTGCAGACCAGGGACACGGGAGGCACTCACCTTTGAAGGGGGACTGGGCTCTGGTCACAAGGAAGAGCTTCTTGCTCTTGCTGTGCCGCTCCTGGCGGATGTGGTAGCCCAGTGTGTTGCAGCGACCCTTCTTGCAGCTCAGGCACAGGCCCTGGCTGAAGCTGTCCATGTCACTGCACTGGTAAGCCATGCTCTGCATGTGGTCGTGCAGCAAGGAGTCGATGAAGAGGTGCACCGACCGCTCGTGGGCACACTTTATGGTCTGGGAGATGGCTGGAACCCAGGGCAAGAAGAACATTGTCACCTCTGAACTCCAAGGGACCCCCAACTCAAAGAGACATCTTGTTTCTCAGCCCACAGAAGATTACTAGTAGCATCCTGCAGGGGTAGGGGTAAGATTGCTGAGGTTGGCTCCCTGACATCAGCAGGAGGTAAGAACAGCCAAACACTAAAGAGAGTAGACCCCTCTCAGCCATTTAGTGTTAGGGAAAAATCCTCGGCACACAGTCGGTGTTTTCATATGCACCCCACATCCCTGGGAAAAGTCAGATTATTTAAGAAAGCAGAGTAGCGTAACTTATTTTAGAGATATTTCTCAAATGGTTAAAAATGCCCAGATGCAGGGGCCTGGAGTGGGTGAGCTGGCTCAGGTTGTGCAGACTGCCTCTCTCCCTCTCTTTCTTTTTAATTAGAACTTTATGGTTACACATAGTAGTTGGGTTCATCCCGACAAACTCAAACATCATGGAAATCCATTTCAGTTCATGATCCCCCCTTTTCCCTCCCTGTCCCCTCCCCTCTCCTCTTCTCCTTCCTCTACTCTACTAGACTGCCTCTTCTTTTAATAAAGGCAGATCAGTGAGGCACTCCTGTGGCATGCTAAGGCCCTTCCTATAATGGCTGCCTCATGTCCCAAAGTGGCCACTGCATCCCCTGGGTCTGTGAAGCCAGCAATGGGACTGGATTAAGACGTGCCATGGCAGGCCTGTAAATGTTGTTAAAGGGTCCACCTCAGCTACTTGGGAGGCTGAGGCAGAAGGATCATGAGTTTGAGCAACCACTTTAGTGAAACCCTATCTCAAAAAAAAAAAAAAAAAAAAAAAAAAAAAGGGAGGGGTCTGGGGAATGTAGTTCAGTGATAAAGTACCTGCCTAACATGAATGAGGCCCTGGTTTTAACCCCAGCACTGGAAGAAGAAAACAAAACAAAAAACAAAACAAAACAAAAAGACATGTCCCAGTCACCAATCACCGGGACTGAAGAGGTCTAACATTCCCAAAGCAAACTTACTAGTTTTATCTTCCATTAATTTTTTTGAACATGGAAATAATAATATTTATTCTCAATAAACCAGCAACATCCCCTCATTAAAGCATCTATTGAGCATCTAACTTTAAGTTATAGAATTGTCTAGTGAACCTCTAGGATCATGGGCTGTATTGAGCCCAACAGGATTTATCTGCTTTATTGGGCTGTTAACTATCAGCTATAGGTTGGGAGGAATCTATTAAAAATTAAGAGATTCTTTCATGAATTTTGATCTTAAAAAAAATAACTCTCCAAATTTTAACCTAACTTGTAGTGAATTATTCTTAAGGAATATTAGGAATCACCACAAGACATGTGAAATACCTAAAGGTCTACCTATAAAGGTCACAGGTGACTTTGCCACAAGCCATGTTTCCAAGCATTTCAAGGCTAAACCAAAATTGTTCATCTGAGGTTTGGGTCACCCATGGCTGCATTTGTTGTGCATTTACCAGGAAGGCAGGTCTGTGCTGCTGCCTTCCACTTCTTGGGGCATCTGCTGTCAATGGGGATACTGAGCCTCAAAGACATTGATGCTTGCTAAGGTGGTGCACACTTGTAATTCCAGCTTCTCAGGAGGCTGAGGCAGGAAGATTGCCAAGTTCCAGGCCAGCCTGAGCAACTTAGTGAGACCCTGTCTCAAAATAAAGTTAAAAGAACTGAGGAAGTAGCTCAGTGGTAGAGCACTTGCCTAGTATGTGCTAGGCCCTGAGTTCAATCCCCAGCACCAGAAGGGAGAAGAAAAAGACATTCAATAACTCATTGGAGCTCACCCAGCCAGGAGGTGGTAAGGGTGGGGAAGGCAATTGTCCGGTTATGCTCTGTTCAGGAGTGGCTGGGAGAACTGCCCTGGAATAGGAACACTTTCAAACACAAGGGTGGAGACAACTGAGTCCCCCTCCAAAGTCTGGCAAGCCGTGTATGTATACTTGATTATATCACTTTGAAGTTTAGCACAAAAGAGCAAATGGCAGAGATGTGTTTACCAGGCAAGCAGTTATTAAACAGTACCCTGTGGTCTGTGTTAAGCTTGGAAAGGGTGGCAACGTGGGAGGAGGGCTGGGCTGTCAGCAGGAACCACTGGTGACCAGAGGGGTGGTGACCAGGGGAGATGGAAGCAATGATAAGGGGAAGTTCCCAAAAGGCTTTCTGAAGCACAGGCGGGCGGAAGGCTGGGAGTTCAGCCAAGGACATGATGTGGAGTGTGAAGGTCATGCTGGTATGTGAGAGGCCAGGGTGGTGATGTAATCCTGACAGCGTGGCTCTCAGCTCAGTTTTAGATGACTGGGGTGGGTGAGAAGGTGGAGTGTGGGGGACTCCAGTTGGCTTGGAGCAAATTGGCATGTTTTAATCAGGATGTTTTATAGTAAGGAGAAATGCAGAATGCCTGTGGAAGGTGCGGTCACTGCTCACAGTTTTGTGCTCTGATCCTGTGCATGTTATCCATGTTAATGTTTTTGGGTTTGAGGACCTGAGACAGAAGTGGGATGACAACCCAGAAAAAGCCAGATAAATTCAGTTTCTGCACTGAGGTAAAGTGGGTAACAGAACCGATTTGTAACTGGATTTCATGCTGGAAGAATCTCCAGGATCTGCTGATCCAGCCTCCTGGAGGTGGGTGAAGAGTTTATTCCCACTCTGTGTGACCAAGGATAAAGATGCCAAGACCTATTAAAACAGATCCTCATGTGGAAGCCCCCTGAGTGAGGACACTTCCTGAGAAGAAAGAATATCCAGCAGCATCAGGACTCAACTTTCAGAAGGGCTAGTACCCCTGAAAAGGCTTTGCTTGGGCACATTGGGCAAGGGTGAGAAGTTGGGGTTCCTGATGATGTCCCTCTGCTCATCCTCAGGGACCATCAGCCCTTACCCACTCCCCACAATCCCTCTCTAGGATTGGACTTAGTGATCATAAACCCTGGGCCCCTACCCTTGCCAGACTCTGCCCAGAGTCCCACAGGGTTGGTAGACATCCCTGGGTTCCAGAGGCCCCTCGGGGGCATGGGAAGCAGGCCAGTGCTCTCAGCTTCTTTCTCACCGTTTAAGCCATGCTGTGCAATGTGTTTGTAGAGTTCGAGGAAGTGGCAGCCGGGCTGGAAGGAGCCCCCGTTGGGGTAGAAGTCATAGTGCCCCACGGGCTGTTTGATACCCACGCTCAAGCCCATGTGCTCTTGGGTAAAGGTGTGAATGGCGTCCACAAAATTGGCATCATCTGGAGAAAGACGGTCACTGGGGGAAGTTCCCTCAAACAAAGGGCCCGCAGCATCCAGCCCTAAGGGGAGAGCAAGGATAAGGTCAGGGGAAGAAATATACTTTTTATCTGTTTAATATTATTACACATTTATGAGCTAGCAGGAAGAAGAGAAACCCAGGGTATAATCTTTCTCCAGAAAATTTTACCATAACCTTTCTGCAGTAAAACCACAGTAATTCATGGTGCTGAAAATTAGACACAGCCTGGGCATTACCTGGTGGGGAAGAGGTTTGCGGAGACTATCCAATGGTAGAAAGAAGGTTATGAGAGAATGCTTGATTTATTTAAGCAAATCAATTTTAAGTACCTCTCAAGCTACTTTGAAGAGCATTTGTTTGCATTAAAAAAACCCCAAAACCTATGTGCTCATTATATATAGTTCGAACCTATCCATCAAAGAAAGAATTTATTTGCTGGATGTTGTCAATAGTTTCCTAAACAAGCTGGCTTTTCTCCTACACTAATGTCATTTCATTGGAATGTCCAGAACAGCCTTAGGACATCACCGTTCCAGGGTGAAAATGTTCTGAGCCAATAGGCCTGCACAAAGCTCTGGTCCACAAGTGACAGATGTGTCTGCATGAGATGAGTGGCAGCTCCTGACTGGCTACTTGGGGAGTATTTATGCATACAAGGATTTTTCTATTTTTTTTCCATCTGTTTTCTCTGGAGGACCCTTTGATGTCTCCCTTCCCCACCCTGGCTTCCATTCTTTAGTAGGGAGAAGGGATTGAGAGTGGGCTCTGAGTACCCCTGCTCTCCAGCGTCACCCACACAGTCTTGGTGTGATCCTATTCCTTTTTTTCTGCAGGCTGACTACAAGATAACAATAGTGCAGTGAGCTCTCCTGCTGCCTCTGGTCAAGCGGGCCTGGCTAATAATGCCTGTTGTGACCTCCAACACCAGCCAGAATGGAAAAGGCTGGGGGGCTCAGGCCTGAGGCCACCTCGCTGAGTTCTAACTCAGCCTTCTGGTCCTGTTTCCACAGTCAAGGCCAGGGATTAAAGTAGTCCAGGCCTCCCACTACCAGAAAGATGGAGAAAAAGAGGAAAAAGTTGAGGAGATGAGTTCTCATGAAGACAGACATATTCAGTTTAAATGTCTGACATTATCTTATTCTTTTTCATGTTAAAATATGGTTTTATGAAGGAGTGGTAGTTGTAGAAAAGTAGTTGTTCTAAAAACTATTGTTACTTGATAAAAGAAAGTCACAATAGTTCTGTTTTTCATCTTAAAATGTGCTTTGTTTAGCCTGCTGGGTCTTGGTGATTAAGTAGGAGTTGGGTAGGTCAGATGGGCCTGATTGGATGAGTGGTGGGCACAGAGAATATGATATGCAAAGTTCAGAGAGGTCACCTGTGTTTGTAAAGAAAAATCCAGGGTCATGGAGGCCCAGAGCTCTAGAAAGGAGATGGCAAGAGGAGAAGTTGGAGAGCTCGGGGGACACTACACTGAGGGCCTGGCTCATGTCTCCTAGATTTCCTTTCTGTAGGTGTCAGTGATTTTGCTGTGGAGCAATCTGACCAAGTGTGTGTTTTTTTGGAATCCAAGCAGTGCAGGTGGTAGGGTGAGGTTGATGTGAGGGATGCTTGGGAGGAAAGGTCTTCTTGTACACACACAGCTCTTCCTGAGCACTAGGGCCATTTATGAGTGGGGTGCAGTTTGGGGTGAGATATTTGGTACAGATTCCCACCCTCAATTCAAATGGGATCCAGGGTCAGACACATGCATTTCACAAGTTTGGAGAGACTGAGGCACTAATTATAGCTGGTGTGTTGTAACAAATTAAGGCTGAATTCATCACTTCCTAACTTGTCTGCATTGGACTTTTTAAACTATAGATTAAAAAATAAGCCTTTCTTGCTGTAAGCAGGTACTGAAAGTCCCGTTTCTAGTCCTATTTGGCACATTTAGAAGAGGCATTCATTTGAGGAAAGGCAATAGGAATAAAGGTCGTAATTTTCTCTGAATTCTCTCTCGGAACAGCGGCAATTCATGACAGCGGTCATGTCTGAGAGAGTGTTACGAGTCCTTCCGTGAACTGGAACCTGTCAGGGAAGAAGTCGGGTGTTTTAATGATGAGACTGTGGAGAAGCAGGGACGATAGCGAGTGAGCCATGAGGAAGGGTTACCTGTAATTCTCCCGATCTTGTGCTTCCCGCCGATATAGCTGCCTGCAAATCCTGAGACATGAGCACCCAGGCTGTATCCAATTAGATGAACATTACTTCGAGAAAACTGAGCAGTTACCTGGAAGACAGCAGCAAGATGGTTGCAGGAGGATAGGCACTGCCCACCCGAGTGGGTCCACCTTTGTCTGGGCACTGCTCCTGTGCTTTGCGCCTGCTCACAAATGCGGAGGTGCAAACTGTTAACTGGTTTCTCACTTCAGAGCCTCTGTCCTCTAGTTGGCTGGCCCTTCTTTCTAGTCAGGTGCCTGGGATTCTGCCTGGTGGCTGTTGCCTCCCACCTGCCTGTTTTCACCTGGCTATTAATGCTTTATGGAAACCATTACACTCATCTGGGTGGGGGCTGATGGTTTCCAGGGTGCATTTAAACCCCTCAACACCTCTAAAGTGCAAAAGGTGTGGTAGGTGGGGTGCAGGGAGATTAAAGTCTGCAAAATAGGGGATCAGGTTGAGCATTAGATAGAGGCTTGGGGTCTGGCTTCAGTCCTATGAGCTTAGGCCCTCTATCTGGGTTGCTGTTGGAGACCATTTTATTCCATGCACACTCAAGGGAAGGGTGAGGAGGGCAGGGGGGGGTGAGGCTTACCTCCAGCCACCGGAGAAAAGCTGCCACCTCCTGGCCCACGATTCGGGTGTTGCGCACGGCGATGGTATAGTGGCGATAGGCCAAGGTGATCCAGTCTGCCAGCCCCACATTCACCGGCTGGGCTGTCCGGGACTTGAGTGCAGCCGCCATCTGCCAGACCCAGCTCTCCAGCATGCCGTCCACCTGAGAGTGGCCCATAGACTGTCAGCCTTGCCTGAGGGCTGAGGGAGGGCCGTGCTGATTCCCCTTCTCCTCGTTTCCCCCCACCTTCTTCAATTCTTGTACAGTGCTGGACTCTTTTTTCCAAGAGAAAGGGCTAGACACAGGGTTTCTCAGCCTGGGTGCTAACAATATCAGGGGCCAGATCATTCTTGTTGTTGGGGACTATCCTGTACATTGGTCAGCAGCATCCCTAGCTTTACCCACTAAGATGCCAGCAGCATCTTCTACCCCACGTTTTGAAAACCAAAAACATGTTCAGACTTTTGCACCTGAGAACCACTGTCATAAATTTCCCTTTTAGGCTTTCTGAGTCCTTATGGAAAAGTCTATATAAATCATGTCTCCAAATCTGACCTGTCCCTTGAGGTCAGCTACAGGCCACCTCCTCCTGTAGGCTGCTCTACTGCACCTCTGAATCCCCAGTTGGCTCCACCCTACTGGCTTTGGTGGGACTAGCAGGGGCTTGGAGAATTGTCCTGTGTGTGCACCCTGATGGAGCACTATCTGCAGGGTGCTCTGAATGCAATCAGAGAGCAAAGCATTTGCATTGTGTCTTGAAGGATAAGCAGGAATTCAGTGGAAGGAAAGAGGTGTGATGGTGAGTGGTGAGTGAAGTAGCAGCCGGGGTGAGAGGCAGAAGAAATATCACAGAATCATGAAAGTGCAGGCAGTGTGGTATGTCGGAGGTGAAGCTAGAGGGCTTAGCTGTGGCCTCACATGCCATTTGGGGGAGAAGATGCAGTTATTTGTTTATTTATTCATTTACATTTATATTGGAGATTGAACCCACAATGCTTTATCACTGAGATACATTCCCCAGTCCTTTTTATTTTGAGACAGGCATTTTCTAATTTGCTTAGGGCTTCATTAAATTGCTGAGGCTGACCTTGAACTTGTGATCCTCCCTCCTCAGCCTCCTCAGTCCCTGGAATTATAGGAGTGTGTCATGGCACCCAGCAAGATGCAGCCATTTAATAAATGTTTACCAAGTGCCTTCTGTGTGCATGTGGCATCCTGCTCCAAATCCAGGCTCTCCCACTTAACTGAGTAAGCTCAGGCAAGTTATTTAATACCCCTGTGTTTCTGTTTTCTCATCTGGAATGTGGGGATAATAATGCCCTTCTTCCAGAATGGTTGGGAAGCACTTAGAACAGTGCCTGGAACATAGTACAGATTCATTAAATTGTCTGTTATTGTGGCAGAATTAATAGCAGTAGCTATATTCCAGGTTGAATAGGATTTTGAGAATGAAGAACACATTTTGGTTAGAGGATCCTCTTATCTTCATGTTGCATTTGTAAACAAGACTCATTCATTTGGTCATTAATTCAGTTAACAAATATTTTGGAGCCCTTTATATGTAATAGGCACGATCCCACAGTGGTCAATTAGAAAAGAGTAGGACAGAATCTTTTCCAGTAAGAACAGAGAAACATTGGCAGACAATGACAAAACTGAGCAGCAGGTCAGAGCTGGAAGGTGCCCAGGAGGGTGTGGGAACTCTGGGGACCCTAAGGTGCCCTGGGGAAGGGCTGGATGGAGGCAGTGCAGACCTGCAGGAAGACCTGTTTGCAACTGTGTCCTCAGGAAAAGTAGGAGTTATTTAGGAGAAGAGAAGAAGAGAGGATGCTCTAGGCAGAGGGCACAGCCCAGCCAAGGCCAAGCAGAGAGCTACAATCAGTGAGTATGGCTGGAACCTACCATGGGAGGCAAGGAGGTGAGGAGACGTCAGGGAGGCGATGGGCAGGCAGGGGCAAAGGTGGACTGGAGGTGAGAGGAAGGAGATAGATGAGTCTGTTTGCTCTCCAAAATGGGCTAGATGAGGTTTTTAAAAATTTTTTTTTGTAGTTGTAGATGGACAGCATGCCTTCATTTAATTTTATTTTTATGCAGTGCTGAGGATTGAACCCAGTGCCCCACACATGCCACACAAGCGCTCCACCACTGAACTACTGCCCCAGCCCTAGATCAGGGTTTTAAGGGCATTTTTTTTTCAACAAAATGGCATAAAAAGTTTTCCAAGTCATGAAAGAGATGCCAGAATTTTTAGAGGCTTCAATGTGTGAGCTGAACTTCAAATCATTGGTGGATTGGAATTGGGGGGCAGTTTCCTTTTGGAGACCAGACAGTCCTCACAGGGTTTGACTTCACTCTGCCCACAATATCCTTTCTCTTCTTTATAGTAATAGGATGTTTAGCACCACCAGAAAGCTATACATTCTATTTTTTTTTCTTTTTTTGGTGCTGGGAATTGAACCAAGGGTGCTTTACCCCTGATCTCGCTAAATTGCTTAGGGCTTCAATAAACTGCTGAGGCTGGCCTTGAACTTGCAATCCTCTTGCCTCAATCTCTTGAGTTGCTGGGATTATAGGCATGCATACTCATGCCCGGCAGGCTACACTTTCTCTAAGAGGCTGCACTTCTTAGTCACCTTTCCACCTAGGTGTGGCTGATGGATATAACTGGAAGCATTGCACAGGTGCTTCTGGGAGGTGAATTAAAAAAAAAATACTCCTCAATTGTTAGCTGCAAACAGATGATTTATATGCTATGTGAATTATATTTAAATAGAGCTATTTTTTTTTAAACCTTGCTTCTTGAGCCCTGTATACCTCCTTTACTATATTGCTGCCTGGAATCAAGATGTGGTGGCTGGTGTTCCTGCTGACATCTGCTTGTCTGCCAGCCTTGGGGTCATCCACAGGCTGCTGAGAGCACATGCTGCTAGTTTGGACCATGAGTGCAAGGGCCACACTCTAAGGTGGCAGAGCAGTAGGCCTGAAGGAGTTGGAACCTTGAGGAGTTCATTGACCAGCGCTGTCTAGCCAGTTTTGAATGACATCTCTCTGGATCATTGTGTAAAATGGAATCAAACTCCTGTTTTATTTGAATCACTACTAATTTAGGTCTGTTATTTGCTGCTGGATTTAACCCTTACGGCACTAGATTTCATGAGGACCCCATGTCTTTTGCTTCCTGCCTCTCCTGGTGAAATATGGAGATTCAGGCAGGACCTTCCACCTGCACAGGCTGCAGTCCCTTCAGGGCCTTAATGAGCTGCATGACTTCTTTGAGCCACATTTTATATAAAACATGGAGCTAATTATATTTTCCTTGCCCTGTTCACTCATGGAATTGAAATAACCAATGAGATAATGTGTAGGGAAGCACTTGGCAAACCAGCATGTTCTTTAGAAACACTACATTGTTATCATCAGAGCCCTATCTTTTTATTTAAAATCGAACATACCAGGAAGAAAAAAGCAAACGAGAAAGTAAAGAGAAAAAGGCACGTCCATGTTTCCTACCGACCACCCGTGGATTATCACCACCAAAGGCAGCGAGGAATTGAAGCCGCACTCCCACAGTGTGTCTGGGTGATTGAGCCAGATCTGACAGCCCTTGTTGGTTTCATCTTTGAAGAGCAAGAATCTGGTCTCTGTCTCCTGCAAAGATTTCTTTGTTTCGACAGCTCGAGATCTTCTCCCAATCAGCTCTGGAATATAAAATTGCAGACCATGCTCAGCCTGGCTTCTGTTATTGTGAGGTGTCAGAGATCAGCATGAGTTGCAGCTTTGGGGAATCCAACAGAGCCTTTGTAGCTGAATAGCCAGGTGATGGAGGTTGATCTAGAAGGACCCAACAAAGGGGCCGGAGGGAGGTTAGATCCTTTAATCCTCCACCCTGTCATCCCAGTGACCAGTCAGTCAGGAGTAGAGGAATAGCTCTGGGGGATGGGGAGTGTAGGTAAGGCATTGGGACCCAGTCTTGGAGAAGGTGAACCCCTTATCTAGAATCTCACTGCCCAGAACTGGGTAGAGTCAGGATGGGAACCCAGGTCTGTCTTTCAGTGCTAGGAAGAGAGTGGAGAGAGCATCTTAATTAGATAACACTGCAGCCTGTTCTCACTGCAGACACCCCATATCACGCAAGCCTGGCATAGAAGAGCCTGGCTGGGGTAGGGGTGGGGAGGATCACCAAGGATGTAATATATTGGTAAGGGAGAGGGCATTCAGGTACAGCTTTTCAGGGAGTGGGGAGCTGATCCTGGCCTTGAAGGGTGATAGAGGCATGTGTTTGGGGAAGGCAGTGGGCTTTCTGAGCAGAGGGAACAGCAAGAGGAAAGCCTCAGAGGTGTGAACATCTGTGGCCATAACAAGGCAGGAGGCCAGTGGGCAGCAGAGCATGCAGGGCCGGGATGCTAGGGAGCCTGGGCTCTCTGGTCTAAATGACAGGGAAGGTGCCATGTTTCCATGGAGTGGCACATAAAGATGGGTGACATCTTCCTGCCAAGCTTAGGGATCAGGCCCAGAGCTACAGGAGGAAGCTCTTGCCCTCCCTCTTGGTAGAGGGTGGACTCCCCTGTGGCTGAGAGGCAGACACATAGCCACGCTGACATTTTTAGTCAGTGACTTAATTCAGTCCAATTACTAAGGACCCTGATCATTCTTTCTGAGCATAAAATCATGCAGGCTACTCAAATAATAAGTCTTGGGCTTTTGGTTTCAGGGGACAGCAGGGCCAAGAGATGATGAACCTACCAAGTGCAAGGGGAGGTATTAATGAAACCAATTTTCCTACCCAAAGGTTATTAATTCCAAAGGTTATTAATTCCCAGCAAAGGGCAATGATTTTTCACTATGATGACAGAATGAAATGCATCATATTTTATTTAAAGAGATGTGAGCGAGAATCTGAATTAACCATTCTGAGAGAATGAAAGAAAATGTCTGTGGCCCAGCTGGCCTTCCCCAAGCTTATTCACTTCCTGGCTTGTCTTCAACCTCTGAAAGCCAGCTCTCAGCCCTCTCCCCTTCCCTCTGGACTTCCGAGACAAAAGCACAAGTGTCATCTTGCACGTCTCTGTCAGCTTCCCCATCAGTCCAAAGTCTAGTGTCCCTAAATATCCCTAGAATCTAGTGCCTTCATTTCCACACACAGTCTTTTTGCTTGGGCTATTGAAACAGCCTCCTCACTGGTCTCTCTCTGTTTGGTCTTCTCCCTCTTCCCTCATGCAGCTGCTTCAAGGATCTTTCTAGAACAGAAATGACTACATCTTTCAGTGACTTTAAGTTTCTTGGCAGGCAGCCACCGCCACCACCTGAATGACTGTCCCTCACTCCCAATTCTTCCCCTCCCTTCACTGTGCCTCCAACAGCTGCCCCAGTGCTGTTTCACACCCTCCTACCTTGGCAGTCTCACTTCCCCCACCTTTGTTTCTCCACCTGAAACTCCGGTCCATCCACTAAAACAGCCGAAGCATCACACCCTCCAAGAACACAGAGATAATTACTCCCCTTGCTGGAAAACTGGAGCAGTTCCAGGATCCCTGATGTCCAGGGCCTCACACTTTCCTGGTCCTGAAATTTAGGACGGTTTCCCTAGGCGTTGTTGTACAAAGAGGTCCTTGGATGAGGCAGGGGCTGTTGTTTTGACATCAAAACAGCCCTGTACCGTGTCATTGGTCCTAATGCACTTGCCCGGCAGGCTGCTTATTCCTTTGTTTATTTACAAACAGAGTCTCACCAAGTTGCTGAGGTTGGCCCTGAACTTGTGATCCTCCTGCCTTAGCTTCTGGAGTTGCTAGGATTACAGGTGTGCACACTGCTGCACCTAGCTCTAGGCTGGTTTGCTTAGGTTTGAGTTTCCTCCACCAGGGTAGGAACTCACGGGAAGTAGCCCTGAACACAAGGTTTGTGCTAACACTCAGTGGATGAGGGATGTGGTGTTCTGTGGGATCTAGGTCTCAGATCAAAGGCTCACATTCAGCCTGCCCGTTATTGGTACATTGGATCTACTATAACTAAGTTTCTTTTATCAGTGATGGAGAAGTGACTCCTTCATTTCAAGACAGGTTTTTTAATGCTAAGAGGACCATATGAAAATAAATTGGGGATAAAAATAGTACCTATCTCATGGGGTTGTTATGAGGATTAAGTAAGATATTTGTAAGGAGCTCAGAACAATGCCTGGCACATAATTAGCACCTATGGAAAGGTGTGTTCGGAAAATACATGCTGATTGGAGCCCCAGCATCTTGCATTTTTGATCTGTGAAATCCTTCCTATCTGTGAATATTTATCCTGGGGACCTCACAGGACAAATTCTGTCTTATGTGTATTTACTCTGGATTTAGCTGTGAGAACAAGCTCTGAAGGGCCTCAAGACTTTATGGGAGACACAATGGAAGAGTTGTCAATTGGAAAGGCCACAAACAATGCAGCAGAGCAGGGCCCTTCTGGGGCCTTTGGCTTTCTTGAAGGTGTGTGAGGAAGCTGCACATACAGTACCGTTTAGGTGTGTACTCATTTGTTCATTCTTCAATAAACACTAATTAGGCATCCATTAGGCCCAGGCCCTGGCCTTGTGCTAGCTGGAGGCCAAGGGGCGTGGCCTTTGCCTTTCAGGGGTCCCCAGCCCTGTGCGTGAGGCAGGCATGAAACTCAGCCATTGATCACTGCTGCTGTAGTGAGCAGGGGCTTTAGGGAGACCCCTGGAGACCAGGAGGCACCTGTCAAGTATAGAAGGATGAATGATTCTTTAGGAGCTCATATCCATAAGAAATTATTGAAGACACTGGGGCTCTGGGGCCTAAAAAATGAAGATTTAGTGGATATCAGAGTTGGAGGGCTGTTGTAGAGAAGAGGAGTAGAATAACTTCCAGCAACTCCAGGAGTGAGAAGGAAGATGGATGGGTGGGAATGATATGGAAGAAAAAAAATTGACTTTAAGTAGTTCACAAACATTCATAGTTGAAGAAACTGGGGCAAAGAGAATATAAGGACAGTAAAACAACAAAGACAGAAATATTATTAACACCCTGAATGAACACCACGTGATCCTACAAGGCTGCTGAAGATGGGCCACAGACAGATATTGTTCTGGGCTTCTTATTGGCTGGAGATGCCCACATACCCACACTGGTTTCCAGCGCGTTTTAAGCTAGTATACATCAAGTGCTTTCTCTGTGCCAGGCTCTTTTCTAGTGCAGAGGAAAACTGGAGCAGTTCTAGGATCCCTGATGTCCAGGGCCTCACACTTTCCTGGTCCTGAAACTTGGGACGGTTTCCCTAGGCGTTGTTGTACAAAGAGGTCCTTGGATGAGGCAGGGGCTGCTGTTTTGAGCACCATTTCTACAAAATATACAGCAGTGAGTTTGATGTGGTTGACTCAGGGAGCCTAGCAAGCCTCAGTGGGAGCAGTGCAAATGCATTTCAGTTACTGCAAGTCTCTGAGGGACTCTTTGCTACCTCTGAGGAAGCAGCCATATTCTGGGAAGAAGGGGTGGTGATCCGGAGCTCAAGTGTCTCACCTTCCACAGTAGCAGAGTCTGAGTATCCCTTTCTTGGGACACACAGAGCACTTGTGCATCCTCAGGTAAGGACTCACTGTGGGGTACCACACCCAGGTGTTACTGAGATCTCTTCCCCAAGCCTTTATACAGCCAGCTCCTGACTGGGCTTCTCCATCTGGGGATCCTTAGTGTGCTGCAAACTCAAGCAAGCCAAACAATGTATTCTCCTCCTTCCCAACCCATTCTTCCTGTGTTTCCTATTGTGGTTCATAAAATCATCATCCATCCATGCTGTTGATCAAGCTAGGAAGCTAGGAGGAACTTAATGTCCTCTCTCCCCTGTCCAGGGGGTCACCAACTACAGAGGACTGTGCCTCAGAATGATCTTTTCTACCCCTTGCCCTGGCTTGGTCTAAAACTTTATCCTGTTAAAAAAAAAATTGTGGTGTTACAATAGACTCTCAACTGTTCTATTATTTTTCTCTTTGTATAATTAAAAGATGCTTGTTGTATATTACAAATATACAATAAGTGCTGAAATGAATAATTTTATTTATTAGACAAAACACAAATAACATTTGGGATTTTTCATTCTGATATTTTTTTATGGAGGTATTGTTCCATAGATATTTATTTGGAGAGTTCAAAGCTGAGATCATAGTACATAAATGCTCTTAATCCCTCTTTACCTATCATTATAGTTTTCTTACAGTACCAAAAATTATTCAAAAACATGCTTTTGAAAAGCAGCATAATAGATTTACCTGTTCCATTATTGCTGGAAATTTTGGTTGTTTCTAGTTTTTTTCCTCTATTACAATGCTCCGATGCACTGATGACCATCTTTATAAATAAATCTTTGTCTACATCTATGAGCATTTTCTTAGTATATATTCATAAAACAGACTTCTTAGTTCATTAGGTCTGATCCAATTGATATCTCTTTATAGGCACACACATATCCACATTGGTTTTCAGCGTTTTTAAGGCTAGTGTATGCCAAGTGCTCTTCCTGTGCCAACCACTTTTCTAACAATCTTATTTGTATTGACTCATTTAAACCTCACGACAACATTATGGTAAGCTGCAAGGAAAACAAAGGATTCTGTTAATGGTAAAGAAATTGTTTCCACATTGGAGGAGATATATAGGAGATGCACCGTCTTCAGGCATATCTTCCAAAATTGTCATTTTTTTCGTGT